TGCTACATTTATAAATGTGCTCATTTGAATGCTCCCAGAAGGACACGCTTTATGCATCCAGACAAAATACACAGGCATCCTAGCACGCAGGATCACAATGATAAAACCTGAGCACAAAGCAGATCCACCACAAGTTAACTGGGAGTTTTGCCTTTGAATTTTGGGGAGCAGACCTGATTTCCTGCCAGCAGATCCACTGATGTCTTTCATTTCTCCTAGCGCCAGCCCTTTGACATAAACAAACTGTGAACAACAAGGACCCGATCCTGCTTCCACTGAAATCAATACCAGTTTTGTCATTGGTTTCAAAGGGACCAAGGACCCAGTCCTGCAGTTCTCAGTCAATAGGGTTGGGGTTTTCGTAAGTAACGTTGCGTTAATAGTGCAGAATGGGCCTAAATTATATTGATTATTTGGATTTAAAGCCAAGCATAACCATAGGATTAGGGGGAAGAGAGAAGTATTTGAGAAAGTGAGTTTAGAGCAGCGTATACGTTCACGGTGTGCACAGGGTCGGCGGGAACTCAGCGGGAGCAAAGGCTGCAGTGGCAAAGCCTCAGTTAGCCAAGTCCATCAGAAACTACTGGGGGGGACAGGGAGAAGAAATTCACTGCGGAGATCCTTCTTCACCTGCTCCTCCTAAAGGAAACGTTTGACTCACACTTTATTAAAAACAAACAAAACATTGACAGAAGAAATTATCGTCACATATATACACATAGTAATTTATTCTGTGTCTTTGCTGCTGCTTCTTTTCCCTCTTCTCCGTTCTGTCTTCCTGTAACACTACTGGAAAATCAGAATTTATTGTACATATGTTTGTGTTCCACTTAATAAAAAATATACCTATATTTTCAGATAAACTTTGTTAGTAATTCATGAGGTAAGTGACTATTTATGCTAATAAGGGAGAAATATATTCTCAAGCATAATACATTACATAAATTTGAATGCAAAATGTTCAATTATGAAGTAAATACAGGTAATGCAACTAGTAAATTACATCCAATAAAAATATATAAGGAATGTGTCTTCAAAGAGAGAGAGGCTTTTATTTGCGTCTGTGAGTTGTTTAAAGAGAAAAGAATTAATAAATACCGAATTACTCTTACGATGATTTAGCTCGTAATTCACCAGTCCGTAACGACTCCCAGTAATCAGACTGTTGTTCCATACCCTCCAATATAAGGCAGGACTGTTTCCTCAGCAATTTTATCCCTACCAGATTATCTTGTCTGATTCTATTAATTCTCTCCCATAAATCTGCTAACAGGGATACGTGATTTACTTACCCTGTTAACTGATCTGAAGACTGTTAAAAGGATTTATCTAGCACTGCACCTCGGAGCAGTTTATGCCTTATCACTCTGTTACTCTGAAGAAGTCTTTCTGAAATCAATTTGGCTGGTTTCATAGTTAAATTCAGCAGCCACTGTTTAGTTCTGCACCATAAAATAAGACGCTAGATAAACAAAAGGAGCAGTAACTGTACTTAATGTGTTGCTCTTGATACGTGTTTAAGTTATAACGAATTACACTCTGAGTCCATATAACTCATAACCTGCACGTTCGCTTCTGCTAAACGCTCTGTGTTAGAAGCTGTTTTCTTCAGCCATGGAAGTTCTCGCACATGCTGCTGGCGTGCTCGTCCCAATGCAGGGAGACCCGAGCGTGTTTGGAGCTAATGCTTCACGTCCCCCCGCGCGATCTGTCAGAGAGCTCTGCTGCCATAAATACAGACTAGTTTGAAGGCTTACGAACCAGGTCAGCAGCAAACTGGGAGCAAGCACGGCTCCACGTTGCGTTGCCAAACAGAGATGCTTAAAAACAAACTGGAGCAGGAGGCTGCGAGAGGGACGCTGGGGTTTTCCCTCTGCCTGGCTCAGGGTAGGATTGTAACAAACAGCGCTGGGAGAAGGGAGCAGTCTGGGGGAATTGGCCTGCGATAATTGTGGAAAAACTGAAGACTGAATAGCTCTAATTGAAATGAAAGTGTGTGATTGTTATGGAAGAAACACTGTTAATAGAGGACTGTAAATGTTTAGACACCCATTGTGAATAGCCAAATAATAAAGAAAAATACTACTAAAATGAGAATTATACAGCGTAGGGAGAAGAACGTTGCTTCTGAAGGTAATCCAAAAATTGCTAATAATCTTTTTTTCTCCGCTGCACTGAACAGTAGAGACATTTTGGTGCGGCAGCTCTGTGTAATAATCACACAAGGACAATATTGTACAACAAATAATTTTACTTGCTGTTCTGGTAGGTCAGAGCTTCAATTTAATTTGCAGCACTTGCTTACATTGGTATCAATTAAGAGACGGTCCTCATTAGCTCACACAATTTCATACTCTTTGTCTAGAGTTCAGAGTTTACTCGGGAATTTACTCATTTGCAACTGTAGCACTTTGAATCCTCACGTCCAAACAAACTGTTTTATGAGGCTGGAGCCACGTTTCCACAGCCATCTATCAGACGGCAAGTGAAATACGACGATTGTACATTCTGAAAAGCAATAACCTTTTCATTTAAAAATATTAGCACACATTTTATGTCTCTCGTAGGTGAGCATGTTAAGTGATATACAGTACCACATTCATCTTGCTTGGGGAAAAAACAAATACTGGGAATTGGACTGTCCTGGGGGGATTTATGCCATGAGCCTGGAAGTTTTGTTGATTCCAACAACGTGAAGGAACAGGAAAGCCAGCCTAAGCAGTGAAGTTGTATTAACTTTGTCATGAATCGCAATCTGCAAGATAAAGCCAGCAGATGTCCACGGCTCTGCGTGTGCGTGTGTGCGTCTGGGGACTGTGCAGAACTACACTTTACTTTTGCTGGCGACGTTGGTAGCATTTTTTAGCTTTACAGAATCGCCTCTCTGATCATTTCTAGATGTAGTTATCTTCCTAAATTTGCAGTGTGCCCTACCTTTTTTAGCTGCCAGGAACAGTACATGCTGTATGACTTTCAGATGTTAGTACTGGCACTCATACCGATTATGGCAGAGTCAGAAGATGCTATCCATTCGTAAATCCACTAGCCAAGTACTATTTCCTAAGAAGAGATCCTTTGGCTATCGCAAACGATGGTTTTCACAGCCGGTGAAAAATTACCCAGAGATTCACTCGCACCTACAGAGTAATACCCCGCGCGCAGTTATAAACGGCAGACTCCGAGGGGGAAGGGACCGGGCAAGGGGAGATGGAAGGATTTGAAGTACAATGTTCAAGAAGCCGGTTTAATATATGACCAAGTGTCAGAAGTCAGGTTTCTGAGAATTACTTTTCAGATAAACAACTTTATAGCACTGCACTTAATCTTACTTACTAGAGACATCTCATTTATCACGGAATTACAAGTAACTTTAATTCTATCGATATTCCCATAAAGCCCCTCTCGAAAAATCGAGCCTGGCA